TGACATTCCTCACATCAACTTTGACACACCTGTCACTCACACCAGTGATATAAGCATGGTTTATGAGAAATAATCCCACATGACTCGGGAAAATAACCTGAAATATTCACCAGCCAAAGCCATGATATCATATAAGGCGCCCCTAAAATATTACAAAATGTGAAATCCTAAATGTACAAACCACCCACCTTAAAAACAAGCCTCAAATTCTACAGTATCCAAGACACTGCTAACATTAGATAAACTGATTCAGTCAAAAATAGGGTAATGACCTTTTATTTATCCATTCAGGGCACATTCAACTTTGCACTACGAGGACATATTAATGCAGCAGCTGTTATCTTTAATATTCCGTCAGTATTTTTAAAATTATCTTTTTTAATATGTCTCATTGTGCAGTTGCATGAAGCTGCATGAGTGAGTTTAGTTTTATGCAGCTTTTAGCAATATTCCAGCAATATCATGTGGGGGACACCAGAAATGGCCTTCACACATTTTGTCCATATGGGGAATCAAACCCGGGTCTTCAACATGATGAGCAAATGCTTTAACCACTAGGCTACCCCACTGCCCCGAAGGTGCATGAAGGTGCATGACTGACTGACTGACTGAGTTTGGTTTTACACCGCTTTTAGCAATATTCCAGCAACATCACGGCGGAGGACACTAGAAATGGGCTTCACACAATGTCCCCATGTGGGGATTCGAACCCGGGTCTTCGGCGTGACGAGCCAACGCTTTAACCACTAGGCTACCCCACAGCCCCGAAGGTGCATGAACTCACCTGTAATCACTCAGTGCAAGATGGGTTGGTTGGTTGGTTATCTAACACTGCACTCAGCAATATCACAGCTATATGGCGGTGGTCTCTTAATAATCAAGCCTGAACCAGACAATCCAGTGATCAATAGCATGAGCATCGTTCTACACAATTGGGATACAATGACATCAGCCAAGTCAGCAAGCCTGACCACCCGATCCTGTTAAGTCACCTCTTATGACAAGCATGGGTTACTGAAGACACATTCTAACCCGGATCTTCACGGGTCTGTGCAAGGTGGATCTACAGATCGCTGTTACTGCATTTACAGATAAACATGATGTCAAGTAAACACTCCCTGTACAGTTTCTGAGGATCATATGGTCACTAGTACCCAACACTAGCTTGTTTGTCCGTTTATTGTTTAATGCTTCCCTCTAGCATATAACAGACATTGGGCTGACACAACTGAGTATTGACTCGACGATCCAGTGATTGACATTAATCCCCACAAATGGTGACATGCAATCACCCAGAATCTGACCACATCCATTAGTTTCCTCTTACTAGTGTAGACTGCTGTGGACCTACAGTCTAACCTCTAACCCAGAGTCCCCATTGGTTTCCAGACCCGACTGAATTCGAAAGGTCTTTGTATTGGATGCAATAACAGACGCAATCCTGTCCCACTGTTTCCTGAATGCCCCAATCTCTCCGTTGTCGGAAACGAATCATCAACCATTCCAATTTACTACATCAGGTGACAGTTGTCCAAAGCAGTACAACTTTGAAATAAAAATTCCTATATCGAATGTAATAATAATAAGTCATGAACACTTTCAGTTTTAGGACCTTGACTTTCCATCTAAGCCATGAACAGTTTCATAAAATTGCCTCAAAAATTACACACGACATTGCATATACATTTTTGAGGACGTCTGCCAGAGCCTTGACCTTCCATGGCCTTGACCTTTCATGTCATACTGTACGATAGATGGTGGTTGTTTTGGTTGTAGTTGTGTCACAAATATGAAGATTCCATCTCATACTAACAATATGTGACCCATGAAGATGCGGGTCAGAACTGGTTTTCATCAACCCATGCTTGTAAGAGGCGACTAACGGGATCGGGTGGTCAGGCTTGCTGATCTGGTTGATGAACGTCACCTTATTCCACTGATTTAGATCGATGCTCATGATGTCAGCTCCTGGATTGTCTGATCCAGACGTGATTATTTACATTTGCCATCTTATAGCTGAGATACTGCTGAAGACTAAACAACAACAAAACCAAAAAAACAATACTTACTGAATGAAATTAATTCACAAATTAACTTCAAAGCAATCTTGCAAACTGACAAAATCCTGACTCATACGTTCGAGTTAGTATTTAAAGACTGCTATTTTCCCACAGGTTATAATTGTCCTATTTCTGTATCAGTTTTCGATATGACTAAAAAAGAAAACACATTCTGGAACATTCAAGCTCCGATATTCCACTTTCAAATGACAAGACGATACTGATACAAGGATCACATGCACTCACGTTCTAGTGACTTCCTGATACATAAAACATCTCCGTACATCTGTACTGTTATGTTGTAATGCGAAGTACAACATTAAATCTCATGTACCATCTGTCCTTTCTTACTCCACACAAAAACAAGCACACTTTGAAGCAATTGACATTGCCTGTTTCCTCGAGTTAAAATAATATGCTAACATTTACATGCATAGAAGCTTTCATTTCCTTCACAAATAACATCCGATGATAAAACAGGGCTATCCCTTCAACATCCCCCTTCATCAATGGCTTCCTTCATTCCATACTGTCAGCCACAGAAACCAAAACTCAGCAATTGAGGATGATTTTTATCAGGATTAAGTCATCCATTAAAGCTAAACAGGGTTAAGCAAGCATAACCACACAACAGAAGTGTGTTTTGTGTAAAACGTACTCTTATAACAATCAAAGGATAGGAAGATACCACCTGTTTAGTGAGTTTCGTTTTTCACCACACCAAGAATGGGCTTCACATATTGTATACCCAGTTTGGGAAATGAACCTGTTTATTCAGGAGTGAGTGAGTGAATTTAGTTTTATGCCTCACTCAACAATATTCCAGCAATGTTTCAACCAAGTCAGCAAGCCTGACCAGCCGATCCCATTAGTCACCTCTTACGACAAGCATGGGTTACTGAAGACCAATTCTAAACTTGATCTTCACAGGTTATTCAGGAGTGGCACGTCAATGCTGTAATATAACCACTGGCTCAATGATCACATCTTGAAAGCACTCTACACTGGTAACAAATAGGAAGACAACAGACATGGTAGCTGCTGTGCTTGACCCCCTGGGTGAGTGAGTGAGTGAGTGAGTGAGTGAGTGAGTTGGGTTCAGTTTAATGTTACTTTGAACAGTATCCCAGTTAAATTGCAGTGTGTTGGCTTAATATGGGATGAAATTCTGAATAATGTAAGTTTAAAGCCACTGTGAGCAGTATTTCAAGTATTTCCTATACTAGGCAAGTCAACTGTGATGCAATTAGAGATGGAAACTAGGTAATCTGGCTTCAGCCATACAATCCTAAGATCCTACTATAACAAAGGGATGCAACTGTGCACAGCAAACTTCAAACCTGGGCCACCATGTTTAGAGTGAGTGAATTTAGTTTTACGCTGCTTTTAGCAATATTCCAGCAATATCACAGCAGGGGACACTAAAATTGAGCGAAACATTATGACCATGTGGGGAATTGAACCCAGGTCTTCCATGTGACGAGCGAATGCTTTAACCACTAGGCTACCCCACCATGTTTAGAATATAGCCACCGACAAACTACATTCTCAGAGATTTGTTTTGTTCTTGTGTTTTTAGAATGAAAGTTGTTCTGAGTTCTTATGTTTACATGTTTCTCCCTGAAAGCAGACATAAATCGCTGTCAAGTTGGACAGTGGTAATGGCATCCACAGTTAACTTTGTTGTGGCCTAATGATGACGATGATGCATGCAGCTTGTCAGTCCCCGGCCACATTGGGAGGGTGGTTGGTAGCTGAATCATCAGCCCTATACATATAAACTGAACATATTTTGACTCATTAAGTGTACTGACAGTCATTACTGGGTGTGGGTTGTTTTACGACAGGAAGTTGTTGATGGTCTTCCATGTCTACAGCAACAGTGATTCAGTTTGGTGGTGGTGAATATGACACCTTTATACACAAATTCTTCTCGATGATGCTCCAGGCTCCCAGAGTCGTTACCAGATGAAAACAGATGTTAGTTTGGAACTTGCATGCAAATTAAAAAATAAACAAAACTTGCACAAGTCAAAGAGAGTTTGGAGTTTCTAGTTGTTTTTGTTGTACCACCAACATTTCCTGATCTGCTAAATGTTCTTTTTCAACCTCCGGAGAAGTTCATTTATAATGCGTCATTTCATCGCAAAGCTCAAGGGGCAAGATTGCTATTACCCTAGTCAATGGATCTTGTGCCATGTATTTTCAGTTCCAGTTTAATGCGAAGAATACAGCCCAAACTGCCTAATGAGGCACTAATAAGTCAACATCACCATCTCATCCTACCGGGTACCCAGTCACTGCTGGCTGACCAGAGGCATTTAAGTTTGGTACAGAATGCAATCCAACTACTCTCCAAAACCTCCATTGCTAGATCCCAACAGTACACAGAGCCATGTACACGTCTTTCCACCCACCTTCCAATGTTTGATTTTTAGTGTACAGGACATTTGTTCCATAACCCCACTGTTGAAAATATACCCCCACTTTAAAATAACACAGTTCTTCAATATCCAAGGGAGATTCAGATCCATTATAACATACCCCAAAGGAAAACAACATGGACACAAAGTAGCAGACAAAATATCAAATGTCATCAATGAACTGCATCAGAAGCTTGAGACTTACTGGGATACAGAACCAGCAGATCCTGTTTGTGGTTGCTATTCCCACACAGGTGACGTACAGAAGGTTGTATAAGTTCACGAGACAAGTTCACGAGACAGGTTCAATGCTTTTGCATTATTTCCAGACTTCTATCTTCGTATTTTTCGATACAAGATTTCATGACAGTAAATTTGTTTGAAATATTTACAACACCCTTACTCTAATATATTTGGAACAGGTAGTGTACCATACCAACTGGCGAAGTTAAAGGTTATGACATCTGTATGAAGAATTTATTAAAGAAAGAAACGGTTCATGAACAACATGGCTCACCTTGATAATTCCTTGGCACTGCAAGTCTTCGCAATCAGCAGCAGACCTGTATTCCAGGAACTTGCCACCATCACTCTTACCATGATGGAGAATGAAAGTGAGGTTGGTGCCAACTGCAACCGACACCTCGAAGGTGATGGTGATGTTGACGAAGGCTGCGATGGCGTTGAGGTTGCTGTAGGCCTCCGGGATGCAGGACGGGAGATAGTCCGAGTCGTTCAAAGGAACAATCTGAAGGTCTTGGGGTTTAGGAAGCACAACTGTCACCACAAAAGACCGCGTCAAGGATGAGATAGAATTACTGGCTGTGACCTCTGAAATAAAACGCACACAAATTCATTACGGTTACATCGTCTGGCAGTCTGCATGTAAAAAGTCTGTATATACAAGTCTCTGGTTGTAGCCCTTGGCAATGTAAAGAGACGTAAGTGCTTACATGTGTTATGTTAAACTTAGGTATGTTCAAACGATGAATTTAAGTCAATCTTGAAATTCAACAAAAAGTAGACCATGCTTTCAAACGACAGAAAAATCGTGTATATTGGATTGGGATATCACTGGAAATACTCCTACATCTGGAACAAGATATCAACTATTTCATATGATGCAAGAATTCATCCAAAATGCTCTTAATCCCATTTCCAATGTTTTGTACTTTGAGCAAGATATTAATGGTTTTACAGCATTAATAATGCCCTCCTTTGTTCTTGGTGGTAAATGTCATCCAAAATTCTCCTCATCAGAATTCATAAATGTTATGCTTGATGTAATGTATATGCATCACTCATCCAGGGGCAAGAGACATTGTAAGTATAATTGTTGAATTCTGTAACAACAGCTCATCAGCAGAGTGTTCATGATGTTACTCCATATTATCAATATCTTGTAACTCATGTATGACTCGAGGGGCGGTGGGGTAGCCTAGTGGTTAAAGCGTCCGCTCATCACATCGAAGACCCGGGTTTGATTCCCCGCATGGGTACAATGTGTGAAGCTTATTTCTGGTGTCCCCTGCCATGATATTGCAAGAATATTGCTATATGCAGCGTAAAACAATACTCACTCATGTATGAGTATCTGAAACAACAAATACTCCGTGAGAGCTGATGATTTTGATCTGATAGGTTTCCAGCAGGTACATGCACCAAGCATTTTGAAACAATCATTTTCATCCACAAAACACCATGACAGGTAACCTTAGGCACTTGGTGAACAAGTGAAAAACTGTATCTATATCTTCCACCAATCATTTTGTCCACAATATATCAACTGCAAGTAATTCCATTATAGTTCACTGGGAGCCAAGCAATACTTGTTGTGTTTATAATCTGTTACACTGCAAAATTAGGCCACACCCACAAGTAGCTAATAATAGAAAGGGTGAGGCTCATTCTGCATTTTTGTGTTGGACTTTGTCACTTATTTCATATTGTTGTCTACAAATGTTTGTGTGGTAAGATTAAAGATACATTCTGTGAATATTGATGAATTAAAACATAAGAAAGTGGTGAGTGAGTGAGTAAGAGTGAGTTTTAGTTTCACAAAAGCTTTTAGCAATATTAAAGCAAAATCGGTCCCAAGTCTTCGACATGACGAGCGGACGCTCCCCCACTTCCCTGATGTATAAGAAAAGAAAAGGTGGATTTACAGTTTGCATACCTGTCTTTATGTTTATACCACCGTATATAAGAAAATGATTACAGTCATTTCTTAATTGATTGAACATTTTGTCACATCACAGTAACTTATTTTACAGCTGAATAGACCCGACAGACCATGGGTTGATAGTGTGAGCAATGGCCATGTTATCAGATACTGTGCTGCCCGAGGAACCACACCCTCTAACCACCCTGACCTCACGGGACACCTCAATCTGCAAGCACAGACTACTGGGCCCCGTTCCACAAAGCGATCGTAGCGCTAAGATGATCGTAACTCCCATACTTTAACATAGACTTACGACAGTCGTAGCGCTACGATCGCTTTGAGGAACAGGGCCCTTGACATATGTTCTGCATCAGACCCGCCATGGAGTGAGTGAGTGAGTTTAGGTTTACGCCACACTCAGCAATATTCCAGCTATATGGCGGCAGTCTGTAAAAATTCATGTCTGGACCAGACAATGCAGTGATCAACAGCATGAGCATCGATCTACGCAATTGGGAACCGATGACATGTCTCAACCAAGTCAGCGAGCCTGACTACCCGATCCCGTTAGTCGCCCCTTACGACAAGCATAGGCTACTGTAGATCAATTCTAACCCAGATCTTCATGGGTCACCCATCATGGAATTGATGAGTCAAAATTTTAGAAATGTAAAAGCAATTCACACACAAAAAATTCTTACTTATATCCTGGAGAAGATTAAAACAATTCATGATACACAAGGCATGTTATGTTTTTATTTCTATCCTCCCCCAATCAGTTTAGTCTTAGGGGATTAACATCGACTCTGGGGTTCCCCACCCTTTCTCAAACATAAGAAGCAGGACCTCTTCAAAGAGAGGGCAGAAATTAATCGTTGCCAAATCCACCCCAGGGCACCCCCAAAGATGTTTAGCCAGGCACTCTGGAATTAAGTGTGACAACAAAAAACTTTTGATCCATGTCCTAACAAAGTGAAAATCATTTCACCATGAGCTACACAAATTTTGCCCTATCCTTATCACAGAGTTTGATAAGACCGTATTCAATTCTGAATCCAAAGATTATTTTGTGAAACATGCAGTTCATTAGGCCTTTTGGTATGTTCATCCTTGGAAACATGTTTCTCAAGCATAGATGTGACAGGGTAATTTGTTAAAACATATGATATTTAGAAGCCATTAGGTACTCTAACATGAATGATTTCAAATCCTGAAACATGACTGATATTGAATACATGACACGTTTTCTCGATAACAACTTCTTTTTTAGTCTTTACACGACATTTCAGAGCTAATTCATTCACCTGATGAAGGAGCAAGAATAAGCTCTGAAACGTCATGTAAAGAATAAAAAAGAACTTGATATCCATAAAACGTGTCATGTATTCATGTTCGCCCAACTTCTAAATGCCTTTTAAAAACTACATGACTGATATTGTGAAGAACCAAAGTTAATGAGACCATGCTGAATGGGATCTCATATATACCGGTCCCTCCTGGATCCTGCAGTTCTGCGGTTGCAGGATAAATCGCGGAATCCTTTTGATGCAGAAAAAAATCTGGTCCACGGAAAATGCATTTTCATGCAGAGTACCTGCAGAATTTGCCGTTTATCTGCCGCGGAATTTACTTATTTTGAAAGATGAATGAAAGTTGACTATCAACCGAAATGAAAAGTAGGTGTAAATGGCAAAAGTATGATTGGTTACACAAAAATGAACTGAGACATTTGATATAATGATATTTTCAAAATATTCACTAATAAAGATGATTTATTCAATATTATCTTCAGCACCTTACAATAACATTATTTCAATTTGACACTGCAATTATGTTCTCAAAATTAATCTTTTTGAAGATTGATATTGCATTAATTTGGTGTGCGTGTGTGTGTGTGCGTGTGTGTGTGTGTTTCAATTTTTAACTGCAGAATGCTTGCAGAATTTTGAAAAATTGGATGCAGAATTTACTGATATTTGCTGGGGAATTCTAAAAAATTTGCCGGAGAATCCAGGAGGGACTGATATACTGCTCCAACAGGTGACGCTATCGCTTGGTCCCAGACTGGGGAAGAGGTAGGGGTACTACAAGGAGGTACTAAGTCCTTGTTTATTATCAACACAGACAAACAGAATGTTGTAATCCTAACCGACGAGAGCCAAGAGTTAGGATGACAGATACAAGATCAAGAGTCTGTCTTTGATAGGCGTACACAGCCGACATCAAAAGGGGCACAGTGAGCTGAGAAGCCATGGAGTAGAACTCAAGATGGTTGTGCCTGCAGGCAAACATTAGACAGGAAACACATCCTCAAACATCTCGCTCCCTTGCTGAACTTGTTCATCAGGATGTGGGAGCATTTTAAATATTTGGCTTCTATCATGCAGAGGTAAAGATGAAACATGACATGTGAAACCTCCATGGTTTATGTTAGCTGTATGTGGACGTATCACATTTTCGTGTGATACACAGTTTCATCACAACAGCATCACTTGCTTTTTCTTCCGCAACATGTTGTGAACAAATTAATCTAAGCGATTCTGTCTACTATGTACATCTTAAAATTGTGATCAAGTAAAAATTAATCACCTTTTAAACTACTCATTCCTTCACTAAACATACCTCATTGGTTAAGGTTACAACTCAATACAGTGTATCAACCTTCTAGAAATCTTCGTTACTCTGACAAGTTCCTCCTTACGGTATCCCCCAATGAACCAAAATGTTTGGTGTCTGATTGTTTCATCACTCCGCTGAGGGGTAATGCAACTCTGCAACCCCAAACCTCAGATGCACCCCTTCATTAACTGCCTTTAACTCCTAACTAAAGATCCATCTCTTTCAGCAATAATGACATCTATCGATTGTGTGTTTGTATGCACTTCGAACATGCCCACATGGCACAGAGTTACAGTGACTTAAAGTGGCCTCATTATTGGTATTAATTATTACAACATTCAACTGCCAGTGGCATATTTAACATCTATTAAAGACTTCAATGTCCTGTGTAGATAACAGTTACTCTAAAGTTCCGGATACAGGACAATAGTGGAGACATGATGCCTAGTTTGTTTACAGGTGCAGAGATGTATCTTCCTTGAACACTGCAGGGACTGACTGACTGAGTTTGGTTTTATGCTGCTTTTAGCAATATTCCAGCAACATCACGGCGGGGGACACCAGAAATGGGCTTCACACATTGTACCTATGTGGGGAACACTGCAGGGAAGGAAACTATATCTATGTTAAGTCATACAACTAGGGTTGGCTAAAAAGATCAATAATGTGAAATATCGTTGATGGCAATCATTAATGATTATCAATATGAAAATTGTGTAATCATTACATTGTACCTGAACCAATGTGGTGAAATAATTTTATAATTTAGTCAGAGAATACCCAAAGTTAGATCTTTATTCATGGGCTGCTGCTAAAATATGTTCAGGATGGCATGTTGCTTGTAATCCAAGCCTACACATGTCACCACTCACAACTGATGTGAAATGGGTTGATATATTAAAGATTTTTTAGTCATTTTGCTCAAAGTTACTTCTCTGATCTTTTTTTTGATAATCGATCATAATTCATTTATCAATAATCGATCATAATTCATTTATCAATAATCGATCATAATTCATTTATCAATAATCGATCAGAATTCATTTAT